GGAGAAAATCCTATAGGTGTGACAATGTGCAGCTGTCATCCCAGCCTGAGGAGACAGTTAGGAAGGTCCAGATGGTTTAGCCAAGTCAGTCATTCAGTGAGAGACCTAGCCTCAAAGCACAGGATGAAGAGGATTATAAAAGACACGTGACTTTTGCTTCAGGTCTCCACACCTGTACCTGCTACATGCACACATGCAAAATATGTACACACACAGAGGGAAGGAGCGAGGGAAGGAGAGAGTAAGGGAAGGAGAAAAAGAAGGGAGAGAGAGAGAGAGAGAGAGAGAGAGAGAGAGAGAGAGAAGGTTAGATAGGGTTAGACAGGGTTAGACAGCCAAACATATACTATGAGTAGTTAAACTTCTGTAGAAGGAGGGCCATTTGGTTGTTCCCACCACTTAGCTCTGAAATAATTTCACTTTTAAAACACTGCTTGGCCCATTAGCTCTAGCTTCTTTTTGGCTAACTCTTAAATCTTAATTTAATCCATTTCTATTAATCTGTGTATTGCCACATGGCTGTGGTTTACCAGGTAAAGATCAGGGCGTTTGTTTCCAGTGGGGCTACATGGCTTCTCTCTGACTCTGCCTATTTCTCCCAGCATTCAGTTTAGTTTTTCCCACCCAGTTCTGTTCCCTTATATCTCTGCTATAAGCCCAAAGTGGTTTCTTTATTAACCAGTGATATGCACAGCATATAGAGGGGAATCTCACATCAAACTTCAAGTCTATGTGACAACTCTGGGAAACACTTTAAAATATTTGTTTTAAAATTACACGTTAGGCTTCCTCTCAGACCCTTATCAAAGACTTGGATATCCCTGGACTGCCATGCCCAGAGAAGATAGTTTCTGGAAAAAACCCTCTTGCAAAGAGGTAGTTGGAGGTGTGCCTTGGCAGGACTAGAGGGAGCTGGGTAAAGGGGCAACCACCGCTGCTGCATCTTTATCTGTTGATGAGAATGCTGGTTTGGAAAGTACAGGAGCAGGTTTGAGTGTTGAGGAAGCAGCCGTCTGTAGAGACCCACATCCATAAGGAATGACAGAACCTGTTGCTTTCTCTGTATGATTCTTCAGAGGGAAACTTGTGAAGCAGTAGAGGGCAGATCAGGCTGTCAGCAAAGCAAACTAAAGACAGGGACAGAGTAGGCTCTGAAGATCCATGCTGTGGTGGCGTCCTAAAGTTTGGATGTCCAGCTGGCCACTAGACATGACTTTGGTTGAGTGACTTTCCTGGGGACATATTAAATGCCTAGTCACCATTAACAGAACAAATAAATCCTTCTATCCAGATCAACTTGTACCAATGAATATAGTGAGGCCATTTACAAGAGCACGGATAAAGAGCTCTATCTAAGATCATGGACAACCTGAAGGCATTTACACTACTGAAAAGTCTACTCCAGCATGGTAGGCTGCCTCTCTGGAGCTCAGTGCTCAGCTGCAGAGCCCCCTGCTGCCCAGAAACCCTCTACTACTTTCACAGCCTGGGAAAGAAGTTTTGTGAATCTTGTAACTTTGCGGGCTTCCTGAACCTTGGAAGTTTCTTTGACTTTCAGAGTTTTATGAATTTTTTCTCGAGGAAAAGTTCAGTTTGGACAAAATGGATTCATAACACAGATGTACATAGTATTTCACAGTGGAGGAACAAAGAGTCTGTGGCAGGAGTCATGATGCACGAATAATAAAAACTCAGAGAGAGAAATTGGGGTTCAACCTGAAGGCCAGAAAAGCAAAGCAGCCAGCCGCTGGCTCTTATATCTACCTCAGTCTGAAATGGCGAGCCTGCTTCCTGGAATCTCAGCATGAGACTGTGACTAAGAGCTGTCTCCTCCTGTTTTATAATCCTCCCTAGGGCTGGGATTAAAGGCATACATCACTGGGATTAAAGGCATGCAATGCCCAGTTTCTATGGCAAATTAGTTTGGCTACTGGGATCAAAGGTGTGTGTTATTGCAGCCTGGTCTGTAAGGCTGGACAGTGTGGCTGTTTTGCTCTCTGAACTTCAGACAAATTTTATTTATTAAAATAAAAATGCCACTAGAGAGTCACTTCAGGAAAATGAGGCCTCCATGTGGTCAGAGAAGGCAGGGGTCAATGGGACGCAACCTTCCTCTAATCCATTGCAGGTGGGACCTATGCATTAGAAGTATTGTTTTGGGTCTCCTACTGTCTGTAGAAGAGGAGGGGTTGGAGAGTTGGGTGGGAGTGGTTAGCATATTTAATGGGTATGAGTTATGGTCTCTGCTCACATTGTATCAGATTTATCGTCTCCAGAGCGCTGGCACCTGAGGAAACTTAAGACGGCCAAGGCTCTTATCACTGGATATCATGTCACTGTTGGTGTATCTCTACAAAAGGCCTGCGTCCTAGGCTTCAGCAAATGCCCCCTGCACGAACTTATGTGTGCCAGCCTTTGTCAGAAGCTGTGATTCATGTGTTTCACCTGTCTGGTAGTGGTCCTGGCAGATATGCCCAAGAATTTCCTTGAGAAGGCAGATCAAACATTAGTTACCCATTATTATACCAAAGCACTGGATCTAAGATGGATGTGATATTGTACATCTGTAATCCCTGCATTCAAGAGGCTGAGGAGGGAGGACCCAGGGTCAGCCTGGATGGCGGTCTCAAAAAACAACAAACAAACAGAACAAGCTTATGCATGCTATTATTTTCCTCAGTCCTGCATTTCAGGTTCCGAGTAGAGATGCAGAGGTGTCAGGATACGCTAGCGATGGAAGAGAATTTTGGGGGAAAACACGTAAAGCAAACATGTGACGCTTGCTTGTGTTTCCATCTACTTAGTGACATAGCTGTTTATGGAGGAAGGAGGGAGAGATGAGTCAGGCCAGTCCAACCAGGAGGAAGCAGCTGAACCAGTCATGTGGATGAGGGGAGTGAGCATAGAATTGGAACTGTTAAGCCTTTCAAAGTGATGCTGAGGTGCAGGAGGCAGATGAGCCACAAAAGCAACACCAGTAAGGACCTGGAGAGAGCAGGCAGAAAAGGAATTCAAATGTGAAGGATGAGAAGATGAACTTTAAGGAGGGCTCTAGAGCATTAAAAATAAAACAAATGGCTGCGCGGTGGTGGCGCACACCTTTAATTCCAGCACTCGGGAGGCAGAGGCAGGAGGATCTCTGTGAGTTAGAGGCCAGCCTGGTCTACAAGAGCTAGTTCCACGATAGGCTCCAAAGCTACAGAAAAACACTGTAAAAAAAAAACAACAACAACAACAAAAAAAAAAAAAACCAAAATAAAACAAAAAATTAAAACCAAACAACAAAGCAATGACCCATGTTTTCAAGACTGCTTTTAGTCAACCGAGGACCGACAAACCTTTGAGCAGGAAGGACGGGAGCCCTGCTGGCATCTTCAAGGCATCCCTCCTGCCCAGCCTCACTAAATCTTTATAGAGTAAAAGAATACTAATGGCCAAGCTTGCCTACCACCTGCAGATGTGACAGGCTCACACCTGATAAGCTTTAAAATAACCAGGACGTAAGGCTTGGAGAGGAGCCTGTGTGAGGTCTCTGTTAAGACACAAACAAACATGCGGCAGACAGAATGTACGACCCAGATGATGGGCCAGCTTCGACACCCCTGACTGTTCACCCAATAAGGAAGGGAGGAAGGTACCATCATTCATGGCCATCCTAGCCTTGCCTCTATTGGTGAGCTCCAGGCCAGGAGGTGAAGAGAGCTCCTGAGTATGACAGGTGGGATTGTCCTCTGGCCTTCATGGGCATGTGGACCCATGTGCATGCCCCCACGCATGTGTGCCTGTGCACGTGAATACATGCACATGTGTACAGATAAGCATTTTAAAAAGTGCACTAAAACCATGATGGCCATTGGGACTGGGAATAAGGAACATGTGGATCACATGTTCACTCCATAGCATCCATTCAGAGTCCAACACAGGGTGAATGGTTCCTGACCCCAATTATTTATATATTTTCCCCTCTTTCTCCTGCTTGCTCGTGAAACATAGAGCAAGGAGTTCATGCATGTCATATCTACATGTGATACAGCTTTACTTTACATTATAGCAGTGCTCAATCTCATGTGCTGGGTTACATGACACCCACAGTGACCTAGGTGCTTCTTTAACAAGAAAGAGCTGGGTATGCAGGGAGGTCCAGAGACGTGCTGAGGTGGCAAACCACGTGCTTGATCATGGACTCCACCCTCTCTTTTACCTTCCTGTCTAGGGAGAATCCTTCCAAGAAGAAAACTGTCACCCAGTGACAGAAAAAGCCTGTAATATGTTAGCCAATAGATCAGTGAGATTACTTTAACTCAAATAAAATTTCAAAACCTATTTCTCAGTCGGGGCTGCTGCAGTCCAGGGCGCCACGGCTACAAATGACTAGTGACCACTCCACCAGACAGCAGAGGGTATTTCTGTCATCACAGGGAGCTTCGCAGTCTATCGGTTTGGTGTGCTGTTGGCAGCTGCTTTTGTGTGGACGAGGTTCTGTGGATGCTTTGATCTCTGTGCTTCTGGGTAGCATTTCAGTTATGGACTCCAGCCTGGGTGCTTCGTCGTGTGCCAGCTACCCTGTGTTCTGAGCTCTATAAAGGGCAAGGTGGTAGTACTGGGCTTTCCATGACTTGAGGCAATGGAAAGAGGATCATGAGTAGAGCCATGTGTCTCTTGTGTCTCTCACACTTGTTTGGTGCTCTTCTGTCTCAGGTGGGAAGCCCAGCTGGGACAGAAGCTTCTACCATGTTCTATATGATCCCTAGAACCAACAGGCTCATTAGATTCAATCAAGGAATGGACTGCGGGCTAGGAGGAATATGCTTAGGACTTTGGAAGCTCAGTGACACAGTGAATAGTGAGGTAACTTCTTCATGAAGTCTGTCAAAGAGAAGCCCATGAGGTCGATATCCCCAATCCCATCTGCCCAGTTTTTCCCTGACGGTTATCCCAGGGCAAGGAGCCCTCGAAGAACCTCTTATTAATTTCCAACTGCATTTTGCTCTGTTGTGTAGTGTTTCAGTGACAGAATCCACTCAGGAGAGTTGGGGCAAGGCTGGCCAAGGTCATCAAGGAGCTGAGTTCTGAGTTCAGGTGCCCACATGGCAGTGGAATGATCCCTTCTGTCCCTTCAGACCTTTGAGACGTCTGGGAGGTCCTAGAAATCACCTCAAGTCTCCAGTCCAGGACACAACTGCCTAGGGGAATCCCAGGGACAGGCGGCAGGTAGTGTATCCTCTCTGAGTTTTCTTCTCTTGTCCTCCCATCCCTCCTCTGTGTGTGTGTCTGTTATTTACGATTCCACACAGAACACGATTCCATCAGTCACTGATGCCCAAGGATTTATTCTATGTTCTTATCAACAGAGATTGCATGGCCTGCAAGGTGATGGACTCCAATGTGATCACTGCAGAATTCGCCAAATTCCAAACCACTGGCAGTTGGAACGCACAAGCCCCCTATTGACGAGGAGGCGAGGGAAGCAAGCTGGGAGGAGGTGAGGACCCATCAGCTTTGCCCGCTGTCCCTTATCTCCTCAATGATTATATTGTTTGCACCCATTCTTAATGGCCTTTTCCCTGTGTGTCCTCCTGTAGGCCCGTTACTTGGCTAGAGAGAGATGGACCACCTTCTCAGGTCTTCTGGAAGTTGCTGAAACATGGTGAGGAAGGAATGTCATCACTCATAGGATGGAATCAAGAAACTTAGAATGGAACTAAGCCTGAAGTACTTCAAGCCCTGGGACCCCCCTTTAGGGTCGTACTGTTCTCTCTCTCTTTCTCTCTCTCTCTCTCTCTCTCTCTCTCTCTCTCTCTCTCTCCTGTATTTCTCTTTTCTTAGTGCAGGGAATTGTACACAGGAACTGATTTAACAGGTATAATTTTGGTCCCAAATTAGCCATGTTACTAGAAACTTAGGACAGTTCTGCCAGAGTCACTGCATGTCACCTGCGGAATCCAGGGAATGCTCATGGAACTCTTAAGTCCTGTTAATAAAAAATAATATAAGAACTGACTCAAAAGAAGTTCAAGGACATTTATTATTAGCATTAAACACACACACACACACAGAAGGCAAAATGTAAATCTCAGCATCTTCCCAGAGGTGGAAGATGGAGGCGAGAATGCAGACATGCAGCTTAAGTTAAGGCAACAAGAAGGTCAACCATATGGCGACTGCACGGAGGCGGTGGGGGAGGCTTTAAAGAAAGCGTGAAGGCTGAGTGTTCAGGAAAATGGCTCAGGAAGGAGATGGAGGAAAAAAAGAGTTCTGAGTGGCTGAGAATGGCAGGCACTCTTTCAAAGTTGCTTGGCCACACCTTTGTGAGGGACTTCACTAGAGTGTGGGATCCTGGAGAAGAAAAGTACATTATCTCATTAAAAAGATAATTATTCTTCTCATCTCTGTAGAGTTAAGGTGGTCCCACCTTCCAGAGGAATGGTCCTGTAGCTTGGTGATTCAGCTGGGATGCTGGGTACCCACAAGCCCACTTTCTTCATCTGAAGGACACAGTTTTTTCCTCAATTGGCCTCTACTGCCATTGTAACAAACAGATTCTGTTCCCAGAGGTCTCCTGAACTGAGGCCTCAGGCTAGGTGGTCAATGGGGCCATGTTATTGGACTAGTAGAGTTCTTATCTTTTCGTTAAAAATTCATGTCTTTTCTGTTTTCTCAAGTTTGGATTCAGGTGATGGCACACAGGAGTCCCATTGCTTAGCTACCAAAGACTTCTTTAACTGTGGTGCCAGCTACAGTTGAAACACAGTCAAGCACGTATTACACCCGGGGCTCCCGTGAGTCGTTTCAGATGAATGTTGAACTACAAAGAACCATACACCTCACAGTTTGAGATTTAGGTTTTCTCTGATCCTATAGTTAGAACAGTAGACAATGTTTTAAATATCAAAACATTGATATAGGTGGCTTTCAGTTGCTTCAAATCTTTGGGACAATTTTAGGTGGTTTGGCACTGCTGTTTTCTAAGGTCAGGTAGGAGTAGGGGACCAACGACATTACCAACTGCGTTGTTCAGGCCTCTGTAGGTCTGCCGACTCGAGAAGAGCCGAAGAAAGACAGCATGCTTCTGTAGGGGGGTTTGCAGGTGGGATGTTTCTGTGTCTGCCCTGTAGCTATGTCTACCTTACAATAAAACACCTTGCTTGACTCAGCAATAAAGTGTCTGTTGAATTCCTTCCCAAGCGTGTCTTTAGTGATTTATCAGAACATCCAGGAGACCTCCAAGAGGTTTTGTCTGCCAGAGATCTCAGCTGCATCAAGCCAGACCACTCTTTCAGAAGTGGCATTAATTAAGACTCCGTAGATGGCTCAGTTGGTAAGCTTGCCATCCAAACATGAGGACCTGGATTTGATTCTCAGAACTCACATCAAAACAACAACAAACCAAAACCCAAAAGTGGACATGGTGGATTGTGCTTATGACCCCAGCATTGTGGAGACAGCCAAGCAGCAGATGCCCAGGGCTCACCGGCCCAGCCAGCCTAGTCTACTTAGTGAGCTCCAGCGAACACTTTGGGATAGGGGCACACCCAATAAATAGGGGTTATTTCGTTGTTTTTGAAGAACAGGGCAACTCAGCACAATCGGATGGCCTCAGAGTAGCATCACAGGCCTGTCTGCTTAATGATACTGAAATGCAAAGCAAAGATTCATGGGACATAAGTTAGGAGATGAGATGCTGCTGCTCCTACCTTGATCACAGAGCCAGATACCTTAGTTTCTCTGTATGTGAAATTGGTCCAATGTATTTTTTTCTCTCACAGAGATTACACGATCTTCTTCATAGAAAAGGACTTACAAGGTGTGATAAAGGAAAAAGTTGCCACACGAGCAGAATGACCTGAGTTTGTTTGGGTCCCCCAAACTCATTGAAGGTGGATATGATAGTGTGTATGTATAAGCCCAGCATTCCTAGTCACAGGAGAGTCCCTGGAAAAGTATGGGTCAGCTAGCCTGATGTATGCAGGGGTGAACAAGAGACCCTGTCTCACACAAGGTGGAAGATGTGTACTGACATCTCTCTCCATGTGTGTACTGTGGTATGTATGCAATCATATTTGCAGGTGCTTGTACACACACATGCACATACTATATAAAAGAAAATGGCTATTGTCCTTAGAAATTTGGGTACTACTCTTCCCATTTGCAACCTCAGGTTCATGCCATGATTATGGTAGGTGAATGCCTCCTTCTAAACACTGACCAGGAAGTCTCTTTCTCCTTGGGATGCCACCCACAGATGGCCACTTTGGAGGACATTTGTCACATTTGTAAGAAGCAGGTTTGAGCATGCTCAACACTCTACATTACCATGCCTGAGATTTTGAAAGAACCAAAATGTGAAGGCAGGAAGTACGATTACCCAGTCCGGTGTAGCAAATGCTTTTCCTGATTGACTAGAGTGTTACAGATACAGTCCCAGAATGTGAAGACAGACAAGACAGACAAAATGTTCTCTACTTTCAACATTGAAATCTCAAGGGAAGTTGGAGAGCAGGGCTTTGCCATGGTGCTGGGAATTGAACTCTTAAAGTGTTGACTGTGAGCCCCAGGCTTTAGCAATTGAGCTATCTCTCCAGCTCCCCTTTCTACCTTGAAATTGTCATAATGGTGTTAATAACAGTGGTGATAAACTAATACAGTGGTTCTCAACCTGTGGGTACTGACCCATTTTGCAAACTTCTATCTCCAAAAAAATATTTACATTATGATTCGTAACAGTAGCAAAATTTCCATTATGAAGTAAGTAGCAATGAAATAACTTTGCTCACCACAGCATGAGGAACTGTATTAGAGAGCTGCAGTGTATGAAGGTTGAGAGACGCTGAGCTAATCACTGTGCACATATTATGTTACCCACTAGGAAAAATGTTTTAAGAGCACTGAATCATTTAATTTTTATAACGGCAACATGAAGTAGGTACCCCTGTTTCATGTGGGAGGAACTGAGGCATGAAGTGGACAGGTAACTGGGTCAAGTCCTCTGACTTATGAGAGGTGTAGTTGGGACAGTACAGGCATATACTGCATCAAACCCTGGGCTCTTCCCAGCATGCTCAGTAGCTGTTTTTTCATTTGTTCTTTGACAGTTTCATACATGTATATGATGAATTTTAGTCATCTACCCATTATTACCCCCAACCCACCCCTTATGTTGACCCCTTATGCTTCCCAACAAGCCCCTTTTCTCTAAGTGTGTGTATGTCTCTGTGTGTGTGTGTGTGAGAGAGAGTGTGTGCATGCATGTTTGTCTTTCTGTCTCTCTGTCTATATGCGTATCCATCTTTCTGTGTGTATGTGTATCTGTCTCTGTCTCTCCCTCTGTGTGTGTGTGTGTGTGTGTGTGTGTATCACTGACTTTAATTGGGGTAGGTTGCTCATAGGTGGGTGAGCGGTACTTGAAATAGCACAGTTGGCATTTCAGTGACTATACCACTGAGAAATGACACTCCCTTCTTCAGTGACCTTTAACCATCATCAGTCCCTCAGAGACAGGTAAGGCTTCATGAGCCCAATCCATGAGGGAAAGTTGAAGGGCCTTGGAGCAAGTCTTTCTCTGTCCCCCTAGCCAGATCCCAAATCATGACCCAGAGACTATAGCTCAGGCTTAGTTCCTAACTAGCTCTTTAACTTAAATAACCCATTTATATTAATCTGTTTGTCATGTGGCATTACCTCTCTTCCATCTTGCACCTCCTATTTCCTATCCATGTACAGATACTCCCCTCTCCCCCGCACACACACACACAAGGAGATACATTTGAGACCCAGTTGGCAGAGTAGGACTTCCTGTCTCCGCAGACAGGTGTCTCCACAGTTATGAGACATTTCCTTTTCATGGAAATCCTTAGCTAACACATGGGATCAGTCCAAAGCCACCTGACAGCAAGGCAGACTACAGTGCGCTGACTGGAACAAGTAATTAAATATACGAGTGTAATGGGAAAGGGAGGTCTCCAGCCAGCCGTCCCCACCCCACCCACATGGACTTCAAGGATTCCTTTTGCCTTTGAGCCCCTTTCTTGTTAATTAGCATTGATTGGGCCTGCCCAAAGTGCCTGGCTCTTGTCAAATCCCATTACTGGATACTCTAAGACACCCTCTGCCTGCCAACCTTTGGTGTGTAGGACACTGAGTGTATATGTCGTGGGGGGCACTATTGAATATTCTGTGGAGTAGTTAACACATTGATCAAGGCTGTTATATAAGAGGCTTGCTTTTTCTGCTATGGCAGTTTTGTAGACAGGGTTTCATTTTTCTGCCATTAGCATTATCAACCCAAACCAGTTCTCCAAGGCAAGTTATGATGGTCTAAAAAGCATGTCAAGCTGACCCGCCGGTGCTGCTTTTAAAGATAAACATAGGAAAATGTCAACTTGGTACAGTAAAAAAGATGTGACCGAAGAAATGTATTTCTCTCTATGGCGTTCCCAGTCAAGATGTGCTGTGTAATTGGTTGGTGAGGTAAATGGAGGCCCAGAAACATCCGCGGTCATTTCATGCTCTTAATCCACATCAGTGTTGCCAGAGGGCAGCCGGGGCTCTGTCCTCACAGCACACGAGGATGGAGCACTCCCGTCATTAGCCGCCCACTTCACCTTTACTCAAAACCATTAACGTAGAGAGAGGAAATAGTTGTATTCATTTCCAGCTGTATTTTAGAATAAACGAATGGAAGTAGCTTCCAGCCTGGGTCTGACCTAGGGTGAGAAAGAAATCCATGCTCCGTCCTTGACTGTCTGTTCAAATTTTAGGGGGTCAAGTCTCCTATTTGGAAAAAAAAAAATCAGAGAATTACATTGTTCAATGGTCCATTATTTACTTTTGTATGGGGAAGACATGGCTGTCATTAAGGGTTGGGATCTGTTTTGTTTGGGGAAATTCATCGTTTCCTCTATTATTAGCTAAGATTTTAGTGCTGAGAAACTCTGAAAGTCCCAAAGACTGTAGATGGGTTTTATCCACCTGAGTGTGAGGATTATCATCCTCCTTTTGAC